CCTGACAGAAAGCCAGGAGACTGTGTCCACGCAGAGGCGCCCCGGGAGGAAGGCCTGGCTGTTGGAGCAGCAGCCCTTTGAAAGCTGGGAGGAGCAAGGTTCCGCTCTTCGACTCCCTGGCTCACCCCAGTGCGGCTCTCCTCAAAGGCAACTGCTCGCTTTGGTACATCCTGCTGCTCTGCTGCAAGGACCTGGTCTGCTGGCCCAGCACTGCCGCTAACCAGCCCAGTGTCCCACCCCAACCACCCAGGCCTGAGTCCTTGCCCGGAAAAGAGGGAGCCTATCTGCTGCAGGCGCCATCTGCCTGCCCCCCTGGGCTCAAATGTGTGGCTCCAATTTGACAAGCTGAAAACCATCACTCCCTCTGCCCCCCACCCCTTGCTTTGAGTCACAGCCCCACTGTGCACAGGACTAGCTGCCTCACTAGATGTTCCGGAGTCTAGCACTGTCAAGGGCTCACAGAGGGCAGCATCAGCAGATAGGGGTCATTGATAATCTGGGCAGCCCTCCTGGGGACTGAAGGAAGATGGGTTCCAAATGACAGGGGCTTCAGGCAGAGTGGAGTCCAGTAGCTTCTGGAAGGCCCACCTCTGATCCAGACCTGCCCAAGGCTCCTGGGGCCAAGGAGCAGGAAGCATGTGGGTGGAGCCTTTTGGGGGAGAGGTCTGGAGTGGGAGGAGGAAGACAGGTAGGGGGCTGACTCCCAGCACTGACCTGCTGACCACCCCTGCTGTGGCTGGCCTCCTGGACCTCCTGCAGTAAACAGTTGCCAAATCCACAGGAAGGTGTCTGGGAAGGCCACAGATGGCAGGGGGAAAGCTAAAGTTGTCCCAGCCATGCCCCATCATGTTGCTCCCTGCCCTCCAAAGCGGTCCCATCACTGTCTCTACCTTCCAAAGGTCCTAGTGCACTGCACCGGGCTAAGGACTGCCCTCAGGTCTTAGAAGATGGAGACCACTGCTGACCCTCCCTCCCTCCCTCTCACATGGCACCCCAGAACTGTCCCTCGGGCCACAGTGCCCCCTCAGGAGAAGTGTCCCGACTTCAGCAGGCCCCTCCCCCTGAGGGGCTCCTCCGAGTCAAAGTGAGAGCTCAGCAGGCTGTGTGGACACAAGTTAGACTCGTGGCACGTGGGCATCACCCCCACCCTTGGTCTGATGCTTCCTGCATGACCCCAAGGATTCAGAGGAAGAGTGCTCCTTAGAGGTAACTGTGGAGCAGAGTGCCCTGGGCAGGATTTAAGGCACCTGGCAGTTGGCATCACACATACCCAGCGGCAGCTGGGCACAGGCCACTGCCACCCACCCCCTACCTCAGCCAGGCCTTTCCCCTACCCCCCACTGAGGCACCACAGCAGAGTCAAGACTCAGCAGTAACACTGAACAAGATTTATTGAAGAGAAACATCAACTGGAACTATCAAAGGGATCATAACAGAGGGAACATTTTACCACCACCAGGGGCCACAGGACCTCCTTCCCCTGGGGTCCCTAAATAAGAAGCCTCAGCTGACCCCATGTTCCTTGCTCCAGGCTCCTAGGCCTGCCTTCCAAGAGCAAATAAACTCTGGCCACTCACATGAAAGGGGAGGGGGGCGCTGATGGGGTGTGGCCCTACCCTGTGGTCCCACTGAAGGGGCAGGGAACAACACTGGAAAACACAGCAGAGCACAGGGCACCACGTGAAGGAAACGGAGTCACAAACAAGAGCTTGGGTGGATCTTGAAGCACGGTCCCCGTGGGTCTCCCTGAAGCTGCCCGCCCCAGCGTCCATCCTTCCTCCCGGTGTCGTTGGCTCTCGGGGTGAGGGTGGCCACTCCCTGGTCTGTGTGTGCTGCCCACTGTCCTCTGGGCCTGGCTCTCCCAGAGGGAGGAGCTGCTCAGGATGGGGGGGTGAGTGGGGGGAGAGAAAAAGGACTAGCGCGTGTGCACACACACACACACACACACACACACTTGCACGACAGCAAGCAACAGCTGGCCGGTCTCTATGCCAGAAAAGCAGGGCCCAAGCCTCGAGGAGGCAGTGGAGCGGGGCGAGGGCATGGCTCTCCAGGTGCCCGTGGTCCGGGACACCGAAGCAGGTGTGGGGTTGGAACTGTGTGGTGGCCCTGTGGCTGCGACGACCTCGGGATGGGGTTGGGGGCTTGGGGTGGGGCCCGCAGAGGCCTGGTGGGTCCTTCCCGCAGCCAGGATGCAGCCTACTGGTCCGAAGAGGAGCACTCGGAGGACTCGGGCAGGCTCGCGTCGCCTGCCTTGCCCTCGTTCTCTGGCTCCTCCAGGATGGGCTGAAGCCGCTCGCCGGGGACCTCGGCTGCCGCCGCTTCGGCCTCCATGGCCTCCGGGTCCCCAGCCTGGACAAGGCCCTCATGCCCACAGCCTGTGCCTCCTGGGCCTACCCCGGGGGCGCTGCCCACCTGCACTGGGGCAGGAGTGCTCTCTTCGTGATCAATCCCAGGGGCAGCAGTATCAGTGGCACCTGCCTTGTCAACGGCCGTGGCAGTTTTGGTGGCGTCCTCGGTGGCTAGAGCGGTCTGGGCTACAGAGTCATTGGCCATGGCGGCCAGGTGGGCATCTTTATTGGCTTGTTCCACCTGGTCGACATCTTCCTTGGCAGGGTCAGCTTCTTTGAAACCTCCGTTGGCTGGGTCCACCTGGTCGGCATTCTCATTGGCTGGTGACTCCTTCGCATCTTCATAGGCTGGGGTGACCCTTTCCTCTGTCTGAGATTGGTCCCTCCTGGCTTGGGCAGCTTCCCATGCCTCAGTCTCACGAACTAATCGCAGCAGCCCCACGAAGCCAGGGGGCTGTCCCTCCATGCGCATGTGCCTCAGCTTGTTGTATAACGTGACGTTGGGCCGTCCTCGTGTCAGCACCTGCCGCAAGCGCACCTGGTCAGCGACGGCTGGGTGCACCGCCCCCTTCTCCATGGCGGTCTGCAGCAGGCCTTCCTGACGCATCACGAAGTCAAACAGGGTCTCCCCAGGCTGCTGGGTGCAGGTGAGAAACTTGATCCGTGCAGTCATGTGGGTGTCCTGTGTCCCAAACACCTGCACCATGGCGACCAGGCAGTCCTGCGCAGGGAGACTGGGGTCTTCGGCCAGGAGGCCATACAAGAGATCCAGGGCCGGGCTGCTCAGGCACTCCACCAGTCGCCGCCTTTTCTCCCTCTCAGACACGTGGCGCCACAGGTGCAGCATGTCGTAGGCGTGTTCCAGCCAGGCTTCGAATGGCTGCTCCTCGGGGCCCAGCTCCTCCCGCCCAGAAAAGGGCCTCAGCTCCTGGTAGCCCAGGCTCTCCAGCATGGGCTGCAGGGCGTTCCGCCACTGCTGGGCCCAAGCTTCCGCCTCGGCCTCGGCCTCATCTCCAGCCTCCCCTAAGGCTGCAGCCAGACCTAGCATTGCTGCCACAGCCTCATAGCCTGCATCTCGTACAGCTCCTGCTGCATTCTCAACTCTTGCTTCACCTACAGCTCCTGCCTCACCTGCAGCTTCTACCTCACCTGGGTCTCCTGCCTCACCTGCAGCTTCCACCTCACCTGGGTCTCCTGCCTCACTTGCAGTTTCCACCTCACCTGGATCTCCTGCCTCACCCTCAACTTCTACCTCACCTGGGGCTCCTGCATCACCTGCAGCTTCTGTCACCTTCTCAGCTCCTTCCTCACCTGTAGGTCCTGTCTCACCTGGGACTCCTGCCTCACCTGCAACTTCTACCTTAACTGGGGCTCCTGTCTCACCTACAGCTTCTCTAACATGCTCAGCTTTTCTCTCACCTGCAGCTCCTGCCACATTCTCCAGTCCCATCCCACTTGCAGCTCCTGCCTCACCTGCCACGTCTGCCACATGCTCTGCTCCAGTCACACCTGCAGTGCCTTCCTCATCTGCAGTTTCTTCTTCACCTGCAGTCCCTGCCTCACCTGCAGCTCTCACCTGACCTGCAGTTCCCGAATCTCCCACCTCATCTGGGGCTCCTGCCTCCACTGCAGCTACAGCCTCAGCTGCGGCTCCTGCTCCCACCTCACCTGCAGCTCCGGTCTCACCTGCCCTACTGGCCACTTCTCGACCTTGGGGCTGTGTGGTCATAACGACTCTCCCCTGTAATTCGGCATCAGGGACCTGGGGCAGGTAGACCACCTTCCATGGTCCCCCTTTGCCTGGAATCTGTTGGGGGATCATACTGCGGTTCAAGTAGTCAGAGAATTCCACCAAGGCGACCCTGGTCCCCAGCTCCTTCCTGAAGACTTTGCCCAGCACTCGGCACGGGCCCAGGGGCCAGAGGGAAGCCCGGACAGCCTCCTGGAACTCGTCCTCGCCACAGTCTTCCGGGATGCCCAGGAGCAGCAGCGAGCGCTGTGCGTTTGCACCCATCCACCTGCACCAGTCCCGCAGCATCACCAGCGCCATGGCTGTGGACCTGGGGGAGGGGGCAACCGGTGGGGGAGAGCGTCACAGTTTCTATGATCTAGGGTCCCAGCGGATAGAGGCATACTGGTGCCCCCACCCCACCCTGCCCTGCAGGCCAGATCCCTTTGCCCACCCACACAGATGCACCAAGCCCCCACCACTGCTGCAGCCTGAGGCCCCGCCCCCTCCCAAAACCGCAGCCCGCACTCCCTTCCCCCACAGAAGCCTGGACTGCACTTCCCCTTTCAAGGTGCAAAGACTCCCCCCATTCACTGAGGCAAGGCATCTCACACTGCCCGCAACTGTTTGAGACCCTCCTCACCATTCCCTACAACCCTGCTGCGGGGAGGCTGCCCCTTGCATCCTCACCCAGCCCAGATCCACCCCCACACCCCACTCTCCGCACTGCAGCCAGGAATCCCCCTCCCCTCTCTGCCAGCGCCAGACTGAGACCCGCTCCCACACCAGCCCAGACCCTAGCAGCCAGAAGTCCCTGTGCTGCCTCTTCCCCGCCCTCCGTCCCCCCTCCCCTGCAGACTGGAGACACTTCCCCTCCCCTTGCAGCCCCCAACACCCCCCCTTCCCTGCAGCCAGGAGCCCCTCCCCCTCTCAGCGAAAGAAAAGGAGCCCCTTGCTCCCCCATGCCCAGCAGCGCCCCAGCTCGACCGCGGGCTCCATCACAGAGGACTGCGCCAGAGAAAATCCTGGCTCACCGTTTGCGGCTCTGCGTGTACTCCCAAGACCCAGGGAAAGCTGCCGCTGCCTTGGGCTGGAGGCCCCTAAGGGATGGGAAGGAAGGAAGCGCCTTGCCTTGCCGCGTGGGCCTGGGCTGCGGAGCACCGGTCCTCCAAGCTGGTGACGGGGCCAGTGCGTTTCCCAGAAGCCCGGCAGAGGAGGCAGCCAGCCCTCGCGTCTCTGTATAGGGCGAATGGCTGCGGCAGGAGAGCACGTGAGGAGGCGTCAGAGTTGTCATGGCACCCGGACTTGCGTGGTAAGGGCTTGCCGGGGCAAAGCTGGCAGCCTCCAAAAGCAACAGGCTCACCCATTGGCCTGCCACCACCAAGATGGACTGGCAACGAGGGGGGAGGGGCGAGGGGTGGTAAGTAGATGGTGAGAGAGCTCATTGGAGCCAATTGAGGGTGGAGCTAGGAAGCTAGGAATCAGGAGTGAGGACCCTCCACAGCACTCCCTCCGCCTCACCCAGCAAGGCGCTCTGCACACACAGCCCGTACCAATCCAGCCTAGAGCTTGCTCAAGGGGCCCCAGCTGCCTGTGCCCTGCCCAAGAACCCCATCCCAGCCCCTTTCACTTCGAAGGCCACCCTTGCCACCTGGGACGCCAGTGCACTTGAGAGGGGATGAGCTTCCAGTCAGCAAGTGGCCTGGCACGCATCATTGTGCGCCACTGCTCCTCATCACCAACTGGGACGGGAGCCCATGTTCCTTTTGGTATACGGTTGAGTTTGCTTGCTAGCACTCAGGACTTGTTGCTATTCTATTCACGAAGGCTCTTCTGTTTCATATGGTTTTCGTCGCAGGTGTATCCCCAGCCTCATAAATTAAGAATTTCTTCCACCTCCTATCTTTTCTGGAAGTATTTCAGTAAGAAGGGTCATGCTTCTTCCTTAAGTAGTTGCAAGAATTCAACCATGAAATCACTTGACCAGAAGGTTTGGGTATATACTGTTTTGTTTGGGGGTTTTGTTTTTGTTTGTTTTTTCAATTTGGCTTTTTGTGACTTTTTTTACAAGAAATATTTCTTTACTAAACATAAGGCTGTCATATCTTCTGATCTACTGTCAGTTTGGGTAAACTTTCTTTCCAAGTTGTCAAAATGGCACATAGGTGTTCACAATAGCCCCTTATTCTTTTTTTCAGGAATATATACTCTAGTAATAGCCCCTCTTTCCTTCCTCATAAGAATCCTGGTGGCGTGGTAGATATGTGTTGGGGTGCCTTCCAAAAGGTCAGCAGTTGAAATCACCAGCCACTTTTCAGGAGAAAGACGGGGCTCTCTACTCCACTCCCATAAAGAGTTGCCGTCTCAGAAACCCACAGGGGCAGTTCTACCCTGCCCTATGGGGTCGCTAGGAGTCAGCACCAACTCGATGGTAAAGAGTTTGGTTTGGTCCTTTCTCATGCTGGCGATGCGTGTTCTTTCTCTTTTTTCTTGATCACTCTTGCTTGGAACTTGTCAATTTTGCTGCTCTTCATAAAGAAATAACTTACAGTTTGGTTAATGTTCTGTGTGGTTTGGTCTATAATTCATTGACTTCTCCTTTTATCCCTGTTATTGGCCTGCTGTCTATTTGTTTTGAGACTATTTGGTCAGCTATTTTTAGCTTTGTTAGCTGAACTCGAAGGACACTGACTGTATTCCTTTCTAATGTTCTCATTTCTAACTCTAAAATCACCCCCTGGCCATCCCTTTAGCTGTTTCCCCTTCCCCACAAATCCCTTCTCTAGAAGTGCTTTTTCCCACACACTTCCCATGAAAACCTCCTACCTTGTTTTTCTAATCCCATCAAAAAATGTAAATTATTTTTAAATGTCTTGTTTTTGGTTTTTTTAGCCAATAACTCTGATCCCACTGCCCTCTCTAGAAAACCAACAAACACCCTGCCATGGAGTCCAAGCTGACTTGACTCGTAGTGACACTGTCAAACAGAACAGAACTGCCCCTGTGGGCTTCTAAAACTGCGCCTCTTTATGGGAGAAGAAAGCCTCCTCTTTCTTCCACAGAGCAGTTGGTGGTGTTAGAACTGTTGACCTTGTGGATCACAGCCCAACACTTAACCACAGCACCAGCATAGCTCCTTTACTCTCCTCCCAGCCCTTCCAAACAAACCAACAAACTCACTACCATCAACTCCATTCTGACTCATAATGACGCTCCAGAACAGGGCAGAGCTCCTCTGCCACCAGGGCTCCTCTCTCCACCCTTAGCAGCTTTGTTCACTTACCTATTCAAGATATTTCGTATGAAAAACTAAACCCATTGTCAGAGCCAATCCCAATTCATGACAAGACCGAGTATAACTGCCCCCATAGGGTTCCCAAGGCTATCATTTCTATCAAAGCAATCACCTTTTTCTTTTCTTCTGCAGGGTAGCTGGTGGGTTCGAACCACCCATTTGGGGTTAGCAGCAGAGCTCTCGTAATAGCTTTCTTCTTATGTCTGACATTTTACCTGGCATGATGTTGATAAGGCTCATCCACATTGCCACATGCAGCAGCCTCCCATCCCTTTCTTTGGTTCAATAGGATTCTGTCATTTGGAGATACCACCTTCTGCTGATGGTCCAGGAGCCTGTTTATGCTCTGGGCAATTGTGCAACATGCTGCTATGAACCTTGCTACACAGGTATCTCTGAGCCATTGCTTTCCATTCTTGGGGTGTAGATCTCAGAGTGGAATTGCTGGGCTGTATTGTAATGTCTCACTTTCTGAAGACCTACCAAACTGTTGGACAGCAGCTGCTTCTGTGTCCATCCCCACCAGCAACAGAAGTGGGCTTCCACTTCTCCACGTCCTCCAAAATACTTGTTATTTTCCGTGTAGAGAGGTCTCGCCTGGTGCTTTTCATCTGCATTGCCCTAGTGACTGGCACCACCACTTCCCTGTCAGTTGGTCATACTGTGGTGGCTTGGATGTTGCTGGGATGCTGAAGCTAGAACACTGGTATTTCAAATGCCAGCAGGGTCACCCAACGTGACCAGGTTTCAATGAAGGACTCAGCTCCCCAATTGGGAGGAAGGAGCCACTGAAAATGCTGTGTATAGCATTGAAATGCTGTCAGGTACTGAGGGCTTAAGGAATGGAAGCAGCACATTGGCAAAGAGCATTCCGGAGGAGGGGCCCCTTGGATCGGAAGGCAGTGAAAATGTGATTAAGGAGGAGCTGATTGCTCAGAGTGGAGTCCACCATGATGACATGAGTTGGTTAAAGCCTCTGGGAGTGGAGCCTTTGGAATTTTCTTTTGCTGATTTTCTAATCCCATCAAAAAATGTAAATTATTTTTAAATGTCTTGGGTTGTTGTTTTTTTTAGCCAATAACTGCTGATGGAGCAAGACTCAAGGTAAGGAAAACTAAAGGTCAGGAGAAATATGAACTTCAGTGTGATCCACCTGAATTTTGAGAACATCTAAGGTACAGATTTGATTCATTGAACACTAATGACTGCACCCTGATGACCTCTGGGAAGATATCAAGACCATCATTCAGGGAGCCAGGAAAAAGTCCTTTAAAATACAGGAAAGAAAGAACAGATCAAGAGGGTTCTCAGATGATACTCTGCTAATGGTCAAAAGTTGGACTGTGCAAATAGTGAAACTAGAAAATCTGGAAGTCATCAAAATGAAATGGAATGCATAAAGATTGATCGCTTAGGCATTAGTGAGCTGAAATAGATAGGTATTGGCCATTTTGAATCAGAAAAACATGATTTACTATGCTGGCAATAATATGATAAAGGGAATGTTGTAGCAGTCATTGTCAAAAAGGACATTGCAAATTTAATCATGAAATACACTGCTGTCTGTGATGGGATTATATCTATCCAACTTCAAGGAAATCCAATCAATACAACTATTAATTAAATGTATGCACCAATTACAAAAGCCAGTGATAAAGAAATGAAAGAATTCTACCAACTTCTTCAGTCTGAAATTAATTAGGCATGCAAATGAGATTCAAAAAGCTGGAAACAAAGAGGAAGGAACTATATAGTATTGGACTATATATAGAGAGAGTTGGACTATATAGTATTGGTGATGGAAATGAAGGTGGATATCACATAATGGAATTTTGCCATACCCATGACTTATTCATAGAAAATGCCTTTTTTGAACAACACAAAAGGTGACTGTATACATGGCCTTCCCTAGATGGAATTCACAGAAATCAAATTGACTACATCTGTCATAGGATACAAGGGAGAAGCTCAATATCAGCAGCTAAAACTGGGCCAGGGGCTGAGTGTGGAACAGATCATCAATTGTGCATACATGAGTTCAAGATAAAGCTGAAGAAAATGAAAACAAGTATATGAGAGCCAAAATATGACCTTGAGTCTACCCACCTGAATTGTGAGAACATCTCAAGAACAGATTTGACTCACTGAACACTAATGACCTGATGAGCTGTGAGAGGACAGCAAGACCATCCTCCATGAAGACCGCAAAAGGTCATTCAAAGAACAGGAAAGAAAGAAAAGAACAGAGTGGATATCAGAAGAGACTCAAACTTACTCTTATTCATAGCATAGCTAAAGCAAATGGAAGAAATTAGGAAGTCAAAAAGCTGAACAGAAAATGTCAAAGGGCAGCTCAAGAAGACAAAACCAAGTATTATAATGTGATGTTCAAAGACCACGTATTAGAAAAACAAAAGGGAAGAACATGCTCAGCATATCTAAAACTGAAAGAATTTTTTTTAAAAAGCAAGCCTTGAATTGCAGTCTTGAAAAATTGTATGAGAAAATATTGAATGACGCAGGAAGCATCAAGTGAAGATGGAAAGAATACAAAGCCACTGTGCCCAAAAGAACTAGGCCATATTCCACCATTTCAGGGTGTAACATATGAGTAAGAACTAATGGTGCTGAAAGAAGAAGTTCAAGCTACATTCAATGCATTAGCCAAATACAAGGCTCCAGGCATGGATGGGACACCGATTGAAAGGTTTCAACAAGCTGATGAAGCACTGGAAGTACTCACTGGTCTATGCCAGGAAATTTGGAAAACCAACTGACTGGAAGAGATCCATATTTGTATCCATTCCAAAGAAAGGTGACCCAATAGAATACTCAAACTATAGAATTATATCATTGATATTGCACATAGGTAAAATATTGCTGAAGATCATTCAAAAGCAGTTACAGC